GGCAGACCCCGGGCTCGGCCCCGTCTGGGATTCTCTGGCCATGGCACAAGTTCTGTGTCGGGACACCAGACTCTGTGTGAGAGCCCCAGGCCCCACACGGTCCGGTCCGGCCTGGAGGTCATGGCTTTCCCCATTCCCCTGTGAGGTCCCGAGGCATCTGACACCAAGGGCACCTTTCTCCTCCCTGGCTCCTTCGTTGAGGGTTGGGGGTTGGGGGTTGGGGCAGGCGCTCGGCCTGGAACGTCCCTAATGCCAGTCTCCTCTTCTTCCCCCCAGGGCCTGGGCTTCAGCATCGTCGGGGGAAGGGACAGCATTTACGGCCCCATCGGAATTTACGTCAAAACCATCTTTGCGGGGGGAGCGGCGGCAGCGGACGGACGGCTCCAAGAAGGTAGGTTTCTCGTCTCTCGCCAGGTGACGTCTGAGGGGTCACTGGCCCACAGAAGACAGCGCAGGGCAGCCTGTGCCTTCAGCCTACGGAATTCGGCCGGCGTGGATTCTGGGGTCCGCGGCACACGTCCCCGACGGCTCCGTCGTGACCGGCACGGTGCTGGGTGTGTCTGCCCACGGCCCAGGTCCCGTAGCCAGCCTGGGACACAAGGCCGAGGTGTCTGCCTCCCCTCCCTTCCTGTCCAAGGCCCCCCCCTCCATTGCTGGTGTCCCCCCCACCCTCTCCCTTCTTTCCTGCCCTCCCGACTCACAGTCACGGGGCGACAGGCCCTGTGCTTCTAATGCATCTGATGAACGTCCTCTGTAAGCCCGCTGTGTTCTTGGCTCCAGAAACAGGCTGATCAGATATGATCCCTCCTCTGAGGAGCTCATGGCCAGCCCGCTCTCCCGTCTGGGACAGGCCCCTGGCCATCCCCGGGGGTCAGAGCTGCCTCCTGAGGGCCCCTCCATCATGCTGGGAGTATTGGCCAACAGGCTTGGCCCGAGGACACTCCCAAACTTCAACTAGGGGTCAAAATTCAGGGGCAGGTGAGGCCAGACACTGGGGGGGCCCACGGGATGCTTAAGAGAGGTGACCTCGGTGTCCCCACCCTCCCTGTCGGGACAGTTTCTGTGAGTCGCGCTGGGAGCCTAGCCACTGGTAAGGACCCACCTTGGTTAGGGCAGGGATAGCAAACTCTGGGGACCTCAGGCCCGCGGCCCATTTTCATCCTGCTCACAAATAGAGACTGGTTCTCGTGTGTCTTTTCTTTCTTTAAAGTTAAATTCTACTGAGTTAACGCACAGTGTCGTGCTGGCTTCAGCAGTAGACCCCAGTGACTCGTCGCTTACACACGACACCCGGTGCTCATCCCAACGGGTGCCCTCCTCGATGCCCATCCCCCGTCTGTCCCGTCCCCCCCTCACCCCCCTCCAGCAGCCCTCAGTTTGTTCTCGGTCTTCAGGAGTCTCTTACGGTTTGTTGCCCTCCCTTCTCCTTCCCCCCTTCCCGTATTTTCATCTGTTTTGTTACTGAAATTCCACGCGTGAGCGAGATCAATTGGCATTGGTCTTTCTCTGAGCGATTGATTTCACTTAGCGTAATACTCCTCTCTGGCTCCATCCACATCGTGGCAAGTGGCAAGGTTTCATTCTTTTTGATGGCCGAGTAATATTCCGTTGTGTACACAGACCACATCTTCTTTATCCGTTCATCAGTTGGTGGACACTCAGGGTCTCTCCATAATTTGGCTGTTGTTGATAGTGCTGCTGTAAACACTGGGGTGCGTGCGCCCCTTCGGTTCTGTCGTTTTGTATCTTTTGGGTGGATCCCTAAAAGCATACATGCCGGACCCCATATTTCTAAGTGGCTGAGCAAAGTCAGAGGAATTTGCAAGTCTTTGTGGCAAGCGAGAACCGAATGAGATGCAAATTTCAGGGTCCAGAGACAAGCTCTACGAGGACCCAGCCATGCTCGCGGCTCATTCTGTTGTCTGAAGCTGCTTTTGTGTTCACGACAGCCGTGTTGCGTAGTTGTGCAACGTTGCCTAGTTGAGCAGAGGGCGTGCGGCCGGCCGAGCTTACGGTACCTGGCCCTTCATAGAAAAAGTTTGCCGACCCCAACCTCATGCACGCTTACGCTTCCGGATTTTATCGGGGAGGCAGTGGGGAACCTTTGAAGGTTTTTATAATTTGGGAGGGACCAGCTATGACCAGGGTGCTCAGGTGATTCAGGAAGCAGAAGGCAGGATGAGATGGGCCAGCAAGAGCCCAGAGGCTGTGAAGCCCTTTGAGAGGCTGTCCTAAGGGCCAGACTCCAGCTCTTAAGGGTCTTGCCTGAGCCTGTCTTCCTGGGAGGAGGCAGGTGCAGATGAGACAACCTCCCTGGGTCTGAGAAAGTGTTCCTGGTCTTAGTGAACTTAACCTGGAGCAGGACATACGGAGGAGGAAAAAGGCCAAGGCAGAGGCTTGGCTCTGGGCGGCCACCAGGTGGCGCTGTCCAGCAGGCGGTGTCACTGTCTCCAGCCCAGGGAGGGAGGAGGGCTGGGTGTAGACTGGGGGTGGTGGACGCTTGGAAAACACTTGAGTTATAGGGCCGATGAAGGAGGGAGGGAAGAGAGGAGGGCGGAGGCAGGCTCTAGGGGGGAGTAGCTAAGTCAAGAGGCGGGGAAAGAAAAGGGATCAACGAGACAAAGGGAGAAACGGGGCATCAGAATCTTGAGAATGTACTATATTTTGTTTGGTTATGTTTTGGACTTCTCTTTACTTAAAACAAAAAATGAGGGAGTTGAGTGGAGGTGGCAGGAAACAGTGTGCTGTGTCTTGTTTTCTTTCCAGAATGCAAACCTGCCCTGTCAAACTTCTTTTTCTCCCCTCCCCTTTTCGTTAATACCAATCATAAAAATTCGGTGGGAAAGACGTTCAGCTAATCTACCGCAGTCCTTGATTCTAGCCTCTAATGATTAACACAATCACTGTTGGTCACTCCTTCAAAGTAAAGTTCTAGAATCTGCCATTGGATGGGGGGTACATCCAGCTGCAAAAAAGTTTGGAGCACAGATCAAGGCTAATGATGTTTTATTTGTATTCTGCTTGCGAAAGAAACGGTTGTGTAAGATTTAGTTTAATCGCTTCCCACCAGATATGGCCCAACGAGGACCAGGACTGTCCAAAGAGTAGTTCTGTCGGGGCTCACGAGGGAAGTTCAGCCCTTCACGTCACCGAGAATGGTCGTTTCTCAAGAAACAAGTGTTGGTGAGGATGTGGAGAGAAAGGAACCCTCGTGCACTGTGGTTGCGGATGCAACCTGGTACAGCCGCTATGGGAAACAGTGCGGAGGTTCCTCAAAAAACTAAAAAGAGAAGTACCCTGTGATCCAGCAGCTCTACTTCTGAGTAGTTACGCAAAGAAAATGAAAACACGGATTCAAAGAGATATAAGCACCCTGTGTGTTGCAGCAGTACTTACAACGGCCAAGTTATGGGAGTAACTCAAGCGTCCATCGATAGACGAACGGATAACAAAGGTGTGGTGTATGTCTACAGTGGGCTGTTACTCAGCCACAAAAAGAATGAAATCTTGCCATTCGTGACAGCGTGGATGCATCCAGAGGGTGTTATGCTAAGCGAAAGAAGTCAGACAAAATGCCACGTGATTCACAATAACAACAAAAATAGACACTGGTTCGTAAACACAGAGAACAAAGTGGTGGCCGTCAGAGGGGCGGGATTAGGTCAGACGGATGGATTAGGTGATGGGGAAGACGACACGCTTCCAGTCACAAAAGAAAGAAGTCGTGGGATGAAAGTACAGCTTAGGGAGTGTAGTTGATGATATCGTAGTAACCTTGGGTGATGACAGAGGGTGAGTCCACTCACCCTGCTGAACATTTCGTAATGTATGTAATTGTCAAATCATTATGTTGCACACCCAGCCTGTAACCAATGGCACACCCAGCGATCACTTAGGCTCCACTCTCCGTAACCAATCTCTTGCCCATGAGGAGGGGAGGAAGGGTGACCATTTCTGAAATACGTCCTCTGTGTATTCTTCCTTCCGACATAATAGTTATATTTTAGTTATTTTTAAAACTTGTCCGTTTCCACTCAGCTTGGACTGTCGTAAGTGCGAGGACTGATTCTTTCATTTTTGGTCCAATTCTGGCAACCTCACAGGTGACGCTGATCTGAATCCTGTCCCCAGCCCACTTCCGCCCTTGATTTTCGACACGTAGACATGCTGGGTAATGTGGCACATGGAAACTTTAAATCTACGGCAGTCTTAGGAGTTGAGGGTGTGATGGCCTGTGGAACTGGTGCCCAAAGGGCTGAAGGGCCAGGGACCCGGACTTAGTTGCCCACATGGGACGTGGCCGTGGGTCCGTGTGAAGCCTCACGAGCTGCCCTCTTGGAAGGCCATCGGGCCCCAGGGAAGCAGTGAGCAAACCTACCTTTGCCTGTGGCTCTTGGGTGTGACGAAAAGACATCTCCCACAGGAAAAGAAGGACCCGTGTCGTGTGGGAGTGTTCTGGCCACGTTTATAGTCTCTACTGAGTGCAGGATGCTCCAAGCCGAGAACCTAATGTCAACACTTGTCCCGAAGCAGTGAAAGCTCTGGACTGCCTCTTGGGGTTCTCTGGGAAACCCCAGAGAAACACTGGCCCCCGGAAAAGGGAGCTCAACACAAAGAGCACATAGGACATTAGGAAATATCCCTTGTTGATGAGCGTTGGCAGGAATAACCGACCCGAGTACTAGCCCTCAAAACCCTGAGATCACAGAGCAGTCTAAAAGACACTGTAGAATTACTATGGTTTTGTATTATGCAATTTTTAATTAAGTTTTCATTTTAACTTCAGTGCATTTAACATACAGAGTTATATTAGTTTCAGGTGTGCAATACAGTGATTCAGCACTTCTATACGTCACCCTGTGCTCATCATGACAAGTGTCCTCCTTAGTCCCCGTCTCCCGTTTCTCCTGCCCCCACCCCCCTCCCTTCTGGTGACCAACAGTGTGTTCTCCACGGTTACGAGTCTGTTTCTTGGCCTGTCTCTCTTTTTCTTTCTTTCTTTGTTTTGTTTCTTAAATTCCGCACACGAGCGAAATCATATGCTTCTGTATCTGTCTTTCTCCGATTGATTTATGTCGCTTAGCATTACACACTCCAGCTCCATCCAGGTCGTTGCAAATGGCAAGATTTCGTGTTTTTTTTATGGCTGAATAATATTCCATCGTATATACACCACATCTTCTTTATCCATTCATCTATCAGTGGACACTTGGGCCATTTCCACAATCTGGCTCTTGTAGATAATGCTGTAAATACACCTACCCCTTTGCATTAGAATTTTTGTATTTGTTTAGAATCACTGTGTTTAAAGAGAGCTTTGAAAAGGCAAAAGAGGGCATATGAACAACAAGGAAAGAACGGAACGTGGTGAAAAAAGCAACTTGTACAAAAGGCACGTGATTGAAATTGTCAACTCAGTGGACGTGTCGACAGCAGACACAGCACAGCCACAAGGCGAGTCGGGAGCTGGAAGTGGTCCGGCGGGCTGCACGGAGCCGTGGAGAATAGGAGTGTTAGAGAAACAGGGAGGGTGGGCGAGAAGGCCCACAGGGGAGACGCGTTCTAGAAAGAAAGAACAGCGTGAAAGAGGGGAACGAAAGGGCAATGAGACAGTGGCTAAGAATTTTCCGGAATCATTTTAAGGCACGGCATTTCAGGGTGAGGAAGCACCCGGGGGCATCGCAGTGGAGCCTCCGACTCTCAGAGGCAAAGGCAGAACCACCTTTCGAACAACCGGGGAAGAGGGTTGGATTGTCTGCGAGGGGACCATAGTGAGGTGACCGCAGACGCACCTACTCACGACCAGACCGCACGGCTGCGTGACGAGCAGGGCGTCCGACGCGCCCAGCGCAGCCCTGAACGCAGAACAAACGCTCCCCGTTTGTTGAGCACATTCAGTAAAGGGGAGACATTGGTTTTCCGTCCCCATAAAGATGGACTTCAGGATACAGAAAAAAATGGGTCTATTAGACATATTTGTGAGGGAGTGGCTCGCAGTGAAAGGGCCAGCTTCCTAATTCTCTTCACCGGGTGGCTTGGGACGGCTCTGGGTTCACTTTCCTCTTCTGCAAAACGGGGCTATGTTGCATTCTGGAAGCATCACCTCCTTCTCACGTGTCCTGAGCACCGGGCAGGTCCCCCCTCCCCAGAACTGGCCCTGGGGACACACCGTCTGATCAGACAAATCCCCTGGCCGGGGAGCGACCTGCCCGGAGGGGAGAGTCTTCCCCTGATCACTGGTCACCACCCACCCACGGGGCCGAGCTGTGATGGTTAGTGGTGGACACAGGTGCCGTGAGGACACATGGGAAATTAAGCCGGCAGGACCGCAAGACTGAGCGAGGCAGGTAAACAAGGTGGGAGAAGGGCCCTGAAGGCAGACAACATCCTGAGAAAGGCGGGCGGTGTTGCATCAGGAAATGAGCCGTGGGAACACCTGGCGGGAGGGTCAGGGAGGCAGGGGGGAGGCGGGCAAAGCCAGCGGATGGGTCAGGCCAGGCCTGTGTGCCAGCCGAGGACCCTGGAGGGGCCTCAGAGAGCTGGGGCCCGCCTGCCTCCGGGGGGAGAGTCCCGGGCGAGGAAGGCTTCCCCACGGGCTGCATACACGCCCGCCCCCCATGGGCCACACGCGTCTCTACTATGATTTCTCTCTCTCCCAACAGGGGATGAAATTCTGGAGCTCAACGGAGAATCGATGGCCGGACTAACACACCAGGACGCCCTGCGCAAGTTCAAGGTGACCGCTCGTTGTCGGTACACGGCCAGACCCTGGGGTTTCGGGCCCCCTCCTCCATTCAAACCCGCAGACTCAAACTGTGGGGTCCTTCTCATGGGGCGCCCCGCTGGTGCTCATCTGGGCACAGGGTTGAGAAAAAAGACCCAGCTCCGGAAATAAGAGTGTTATCAGATTGCTGCGGGCGTGTCTCAACCACTGAAGATTTATAGAACTGTTTGAAGACACTCAGTGTAGTTATGCCGATATATTTACAAATCTGTTTTGAGTTAAAAAAAAATTTTTTTTTTACATGTATTTATTTTTGAGAAACAGTGAGACAAAGTGTCAGTGGGGGAGGGGCAGAGAGAGAGGGAGACACGGAATCCGAAGCAGGCTCCGGGCTCCGAGCCGTCGGCACAGAGCCCGACACGGGGCTTGAACCCACGGACCGCGAGATCGTGACGCTCAACCGACTGAGCCCCCCAGGCGCCCCAAATCTGTTTTAAGTTTTAAGGCAGTCACTAAAAGATGCTTTAAGTCTCTGGGTAATCAGTTCAGTTCAATCCCATCCGGCGCATGTATGCACGTGTGTATGTTTCATATACGATGTTTCGTATCTGTGTATACGTGCAGATATAGACCGTACACATATGCACACACACTTCCACACCACGCACACGCACACGCACGCTCACACAGCTGCTGAGCGCTGCGACACATGGTCCCTTCCTTTCAGCAAGCCAAAAAGGGGCTCCTGACCCTCACCGTGAGAACGCGCCTGACGGCACCCCACTCGCCGAGCAGCCACCTGTCGCCCCCACTGTGCCGCTCCCTGAGCTCCAGCACCTGTGCCACCAAGGACAGCGGGCCCTTCGGCTTGGGGAGCCCTGCCGCCCCCCCCAGCACGGCCAAGCCCAACTACAGAGTCATGGTGGAGGTCTCTCTGCAGAAAGGTGGGATTGCACCCCTGCCCTCCTGCCTGGGTCTCCCGCCACCGGGGGGCCCCCCCGAGACTTTCCGAGACAAGACAGGGTGTCTGTCGCCTACAAGCAGATTCTGCAGCCACCGTCGAGCAGCGAGGCCTGCGGCTCTGTTTGCAGAAGCCCAGGACGCACCGTCCACGCTCAGCCTGGGGTTGTGGGGCGAGGGGCAGAACATACCCCAACAAGGCGATACCACACATGGGAACCGGGGCCAGGGCTGCGGGCACAGCGAAATACGCCGTGAGGTCTGGGGCGGGGACCCCTCCTTGAGCACTGTCGTTCTTAACCGTGGCAGGGGAGCCGAGGTCCTTTGCGCTCGGTCCCGAGCCCCCCGCCCTCCCTCCTGCTCTGCCTTCCAGAGGCTGGCGTCGGTCTGGGTATCGGCCTGTGCAGTGTGCCCTATTTCCAGTGCATTTCCGGCATTTTCGTCCACACGCTCTCTCCGGGGTCTGTGGCACACTTGGATGGACGGCTCTGGTATGTCCTCATTTCTGTGTTTGAAAACAACAATAACAACAACAGCCCTGATTTCCATCGGGGGAAGGAATTCCTTAGAAGGCAGCAGGTTAATTTGGAGACGAGATATTTAGAATGACCCAAGCATGGCTCAGAGCCTCGTTCTTCCAGCTGTGGTCCCCGGACCAGTGGCAGCGAGATCCCTCGGGAGTTTGCTAGCAATGCAGCGTCTCGGGCCCCTCTCCAGACCTGCCATGGCGGAACCCGCCTTTTCACAAGACCCTCAGGGAGCTGTGTGCACGTTGCAGTTCAAGAGGCATTGTCGCGGCTCCTGGGGGGCTCGGCTGGTGAAGCGTGCGACGCTTGATTTCAGCTCAGGTCACGGTGGGATCGAGCCCCACGTGGGGCTCTGTGCTGACGGCACGGAGCCCGCTTGGGATCCTCTCTCCCTCTTTCTCTGGCCCTGTCCTTAAAGAAAAAAGAAAAAAGAAAAGAAGAGGCATTATCTCAGGGAATGCCGGTCCAGAATGGGAAACAGGAAGTGAACACACCTTGATTCAGATCTAAGTAGCACAGGATTTACGGTGACATAAATAGGAGCCCCGAGGAGGTTTGCCTGTGCACCCTGTGTGGAGAAAGACGCTCACTTACGAAGCAAATCAGTAGTGTTAACTCAGTTTCTTGATGGTATAAACCAGATCCTTGCGGACGCTCCAGGCCTACGTCCCTGCAGATAACTTCTAAGAGATGCCCGAGCCCGAATCTCCTTTCCAGTAAGCGAGTTGGGTTTCGGTGCCATTGACCCCGGTTTCACCTGTCACGATATTTCCGGTTCGCGCATCTTCGCGTGTCCCTTCTCTCACTGGGTTCGAGGCTTGCTAACTGCGGAGAGTTTTGTCATAGTTTTGAAGGTTTTCCCACCACTGCAGTCCATGTAAGGGCAAGGCCTGCTCGGGATGCCGTCTCGACGGTGCTTTAGATTCAAGACAGATTTGCTGTTGTCACGTGCAGGACGGCGACAGCCGTTTGCTGAGCTGCCATGTTGTCACCTGGGACATGACTGCACAGTCACCACAACGGCCTTCGCCCTAATCCCTTCAGACAGAGAGTCCTCCCCCCTAGACCTGCAGCTGGGTAGGGATTGTTCTGGAAGCTTCTGCAGTGGTCTTCAGTTACATCAAAGAAAATGTGCACTTTCTTTTTTTTTTAAATTTTTTAAAATGTTTATTTATTTTTGAGAGAGAGACAGAGCACAAGCAGGGGAGGGGCAGAGAGAGAGGGAGACTCAGAATCCGAAGCAGGCTCCAGGCTCCGAGCTGTCGGCACAGAGCCCGACGCGGGGCTCGAACCCACGAACCGTGAGGTCGTGACCGGAGCCGAAGTCGGATGCTCAACCGACTGAGCCACCCAGGTGCCCCCAAAATGCGTGCTTTCTTAGCAAAGGGGAAGGGGGGCCGGCTGAGCGGAACTGTGACGGGAGACGGCAGACCACAGCGGGAGGGACGGCGAACTCAGCCCTGGAGACCTGCGTTCCAAACCCCGCTGGGCTGATAACCCGCCAGACCAGTGGTCAGCAAACTGGGGCCCATCACCTGTTGGTTTTTTTAAAGAAAGTTTTATCGGAACACAGCCACGCTCGTTTGTTGACACGTCGTCTACATCTGCTGTTTCCACACCACAACATCAGAGTTTAGTCATTGCAACAGGGTGTGAACTGCAAAGCCTAAAACATTTACTACATGGCTGTTTCTAGAAAAAGCCTTTTTTTTTTTTTTTAAACTCTAAGCTAGGTCTTATTGAGAATATTTCACCCTCTGTGCCTCGGTTTCCCCAGCTCCGAGACAAGGGGGTTGGATTGCCCAAATCCTCCAAGTACGGATACATCCCTATGTTTTCTACCTCCCTTGTGTTTTTTCTTTTTTTCTGGATAGGTAACAGGACACACCTAAATTTTCCATAACTCGATCCCCATCTTCCAATGACAATGAACTCCATGCTTTCTCTCCTTCCTTCTTTTTGCAAGGGCTTCCACTGCTCCCAGCCCAGTTATATCTTCTTTACCTGCTAGCGCAAAGCATCCGTCTTTCCTCCTAACCATTCTACAGATGGGAACAGTGAGGCCCAAGGAGAGGATGTGATTGCTTATATCACAGTTCATTGGTTAATCGCTTAAATCGGGTTAACCTACACCCCCCATCTCGGTTAGACAGACTTTAATGGGGAAGACGAAGAGGAAAGTTCAGATCAACTTTTGTTCACGTTGACCCACGAGATGGGTATGAAACGTCCCCCATGCTGTGGTCGCACAGCGAGGAGTGAACGTGCACTGCCTTGGTCCGTCCTGCTCTGAATGTCAGTCGGGTGGCTAAGGAGCTCTATTTATTGGTGTAAGTTTTAGGCCCCGACAGAGAGCGAAGTCCCTGAGTGGGGCGTCAGGGAAGGGAGCGTCCGAACGCCACGAGGGTTAGCTCGCTGACGGCTTCCCGTGTATGCTCTCCCAGGTGTGGGGACGAGATCGTGGAAATCAATGACTCCCCTGTGCACTGCCTGACGCTCAATGAAGTCTACGCGATCCTGAGTCACTGCAGTCCTGGGCCCGTCCCCATCATCGTCAGCCGGCATCCAGACCCACAGGTAACACCCCACCGGGACGTCTTCTTCCTCCCAGGCTCACTCTTTCCGTACTTGGGACAAGAAACGGATGAACGCGGGTGATGCCCTCTGGGTTTGGACCCGAATTCCCAAGAACCTGTTCCAAGTGTAATAACGAGTGAATGCAGCGGGGGTCCACTGGCCGACTCCCAGACGCCAGAGGCAACTGGCATTAGCTTAGGGAAGCTCTTACAGCTGGTTACAAGCTCTCGGACAGGAAAATACAGACCCAGGATCCCTGCACGTGGAGGCCAGGGGCCAATTCATCCGTGCATCGAGTAGGGACCTGCTCACTATGCGACTGTCGGGAGCTGTGCACCCCAGCGTACAGGGATGAACAAGTTCATGGTACACGGTCTTGCCCTCTGGGGCTCAGGGTCTGGCTGGAGACGATGACCTACAAATAATTACAATACAGGGTGGGAAGACAGGGAGAAGAGGGAGACAGAAAGGAAGGTTGCATGAAGGTAGGTAGGTAATTCATGAAGCAAGAATTACCAGAAGTTAGTTGTCTCCAGGCAGAGGATTTGAGGAAGGTCGTTCCGTGGAGCTACAGAGTCAGGAAGGGACCTGCCATGGAAGGAAGGAGCGTGGGGCTGGGGTGCGGGCGCAGGTGGAGAGGCTAAGGGTACAGGTCGGCATGGCATGGGAGTCACACGGGATGCTTAGGAGCGTGCGT